ACCACCCACCCACCCAGTGCGAGTGAGAACAGGTATGCCTGAGTGTCTGGAGATGGTGGAGGGACAGAAAGGTGAGAGTCTCTAGGAGGGTGAACCATGCTCAGGAGCTGTGGGGATGCGAAAACTGGGCAGTGGGCGCTAGCGGGCAAGTGGGGTGGGGAGAGAGGGTGAGGGGCATTTCCAGCTGATGACCAGATCTGGGGAATAGTCATGAGTGGGGAGGGCAGGCCCCTGGAGCCAGGGAGGGTACAGAATGACCTAGAGACCAAGGGAAAAAAACGGGGCAAGAGCAAAACTCTGGGCACAGAAATGGATTTCAGTCAACTCTCCCCTTGTCAAAGCAACTCACGTCGAAAAGGAAATGAGGAAATGCCACAGGGAATAATGCTGATGAAGCCTTGGTGTTTCGCCCTTGCCACTTGTGGTTCTTCAAAATTAAATTTCATTCCTTGGCAGCATCTCCAACTCCAGCATTTCCCCTTCCATAATCAATCTCCCACTTCCCTCCTTCCATCTGTCCGATATTTGCCCCCTCCCCTGCTTCAGTGCCTCCACCCTTCACCTCTGACCACCCCCCAGGTCTCACTCCTGCTCTACGACTCCACCAGGATGAGGCAGCTTCTGTCCAAGGCTGTGGTGATCGATGACGACGACGACGATGAATATCCCTGGAGACAGAACGCACACAAGTATTACATCCACCTTCTCCTCAGCCTCTTCCTCTTCCTCTGGTTCCTTCTGGGGAATTACTGGGTCTTTTCTGTTTACCTGCCTGACTTCATTCCCCCTTTCCAGCAGCCTCAGGATTACTGTGACAAAACTCTGTACCTCTTTGCAGTAGGGGTCCTCGCGCTTGGCCACGCCGTGCTGGCCTCGCTCCTCCTGGGCAGCGCGTGCGTCTATGCGTGGTCCAGGTGGGGACTTGCTGTCGATGAGGACTGAGAACCACACCCCAAGCACACGCATGTGCACACACAATACACACTCGTGCACACACACCATGGTTGCAGGAGAAAGGGCGACAAAAAGGGACAAAACCTTCCCTGCAGGCATTTAAGGAGGCACCAATGGGGCTAAAGACGCTGTGTGCCTAGGCCTGGGAAATGCAATTTTGTTCTTTTCAGAGCAAAATTTTGTTCTCGTAAGACTTTTCAAAGGGACTCATTTTGGAGGGGATGAGGAAAGGGACGCAAAGCATGGTAGAGCCTCTCAAAGCCGGGTGCAGCTCCAGGGACTTCTCCAGTGTGAGAGCAAAAGACTTGTGGAGTAACTTGGCTGATGCTGTGTTGTTGCTCAGCCTCGGGCACCTTGAAGTCGGACCAACGGAGCAGAGATGCTCAAAGAAGACATAGCTCGGCTTTTCTTGTTCTGGTGGCTTTTGTAGGAAGAGGAGAAAGGAGACTTTTCCTCACTCCATCTGCCTTTGGGAAACAAGGGAAACCCCATATTGGATCGGTTTGATTTAGTAGGTGAGTCACCTCCAGGACGGATGTAAAATTTGCCAAAGTCAAGAAAGTAGATTCTTCCTGGAGGCTCTGGTCTGTCCCACTGGCCAGCATCTCAGAGAGTAGGGTTCCTTTCAGGAATGCCCTGTGTGGGGCTGGGGTGTCTTCCCATGGCCTCAAGTTGGCTTCTGTCCCTGGGTATCTGTGTGCATCTCTGGGATTGGCTGATGGCATGAACCAGCCTTGTGTGTTGGGCCAGCTTGCATGAGGTGATTTTGCTCTGTGAGTATAAGTGCTACTGTAGCCATCCTATTCATGCCAGGCCAGGCTTCCATTTGTCAGGCTATCCAGGATGACCAGAGGCCGGAAACATTCCCTCCCGTGCTGCTGTTGTGAGATGAAATTCCTAGGAGCTGTGACACCATGTCAGCTCTTGCTGACATGGGGAGCCCTGTGCTTTAGAGCTCTAGATGAAGACTTGTCGTGTATTTCTAGGGACTGTGTCGGGGGAGCTGGCACCTGTGTAAGCACGCGCAGCCTCTGTACATTTCTGCATGCTGAGCTGCCTTCTTTTGTGCTTTGTAATCAAACCAGGCCCTGAGTTTGCCACCAGTGTGGAGCACTTCCCTTTATCAGAAGTGACAGCAAACCAGCAGGCTCACTCCTCTCAACGACTTTAAGGGCAAGGACTTGTGGGTCCCCTGAAGAGTTCCCATTGAGTTTCCAAGCCCTCCCCAGGCACCTGTTAACTGGAGTCGGGTCATTCCCCTCACTTTTTTTTTTTTTTAAATAATATAAGAGTTTTTTTTTTAACATCATTTTGTGCATTTTTTCATCTCAGTTGTAATGCCCGTGGGCTTCCCATTACCAAATCACCCATGTGCCATCACCATAATCCAGTGCACTTCCCTCCCCCCACTGTTTTTGATCCCATTTCCCACTCTACCTCCGTAAAATGTCTCTGGTATATAGTTGTTCATTATTATTATTTTCTCGCCTGCTCCATTATATTCCTGCTATGAGCGAAACCATCTGGTATTTTTCCCTTTTTTTCTGGCTTATTTCACTAAGCATGATCCCTTCCAGCTTCATCCATGTTGCTGCAAAAGGCATGTGCTTATCCTTTTTGGTTGATGAGTAATATTCCATTGTGGTTATGTACCACATCTTTTAAATCCAGTCATCCACTTTTGGGCATTTGGGCTGTTTCCATGTTTTTCCAATTGTCTCCCCACCTTTTTTAACACCCAGATAAGAAGGTGCTGGATATATCCTCTGCTAGGAAAGAGGGGGGAAAACCCTTATTTGGCCCTGGCCCCTCTGGGCACTTTCTGGTTTCATTTTCATTTGAAGCAGGGAAGATCAGGAAGAGGGTGTGCATTAACTAGAAGGAAAAAAAAGAAGGTGTACAGTTTGCTGATCCTCCCTTCACTGCGATGCTTTTTATATTGTGCCCCACATCATCCCACATCTGGAGAGGCTGTGGGCTCAGACACTGGGGCAGGCCTGGGGTTCCACAGCAACCTCCCCACTACTGCTTTCTCCAGCTCATGACTCATCAGTCACACCCAGTCACTGAGCTAATGTTTGGAGATGCATGGACACCGCTGAATGCCAACAAAACCCGTTCTAAGCTCAGTCCAGGCCATATTTCAACCAGCACTGTCCCTTAACATCTCTGATATTGATTCCTGAGCAGGAGACTTGAGAAAAATGTCCATACTCCAGCATAAAAGTAAGCCAGGCCTATATGAACAGTCAGGAAAAAGTCAAATTCTGCATTAGCAGAGAATGGCCGAGCACCCCTCTAAAAGTGTCAGGTCCCCTGGTGGCACAAGGGACTGCCCTGGTGGTTCAAGCACATCTTATAGCCCGGCTTGGTGCATAAGTTTGCGCTGTCCTGCTGGCTCAGGCCCTGGCTGCGCAATGTGATGAGAGTGACTTTGAGGCTGCGTTCAGACTTAGCAAGAGAGAATGCTGGATTCAACAGTCATGGCAGCGGGGAGGGGAGGAGCCCATAAAACTCCACAGAGAGTGCCTCTGGGACCATGGAGACAGAGCAAATATCAATATATTTAAGCACTCGTCTGGTGTCATAATGACTCCAAGGTGCTCTGCTGGTGGCCTCCTGAGCGACTTACATCAAGTTGTCTGGCCACAGAGGGATAACTCTGTAAAGGGAATTGCAACATTATTTGCTTCTCCGCCCAGACCGAATATATCATTGACCTTTGCTCCTCTTCTAGAAGCAAATACCTGAGCCCAGAGACCCACACTCCCCTTCCCAGTGTTTCTGAGCCTTGTAGAGACGGAAAGGGTATGTGAAAAATCGTAGACATATAAATGGCTATTAGCCAATGAGTGACATTGATTGTGCTTTGGGTCTGTCAGTAGCCAGGTCACAATTATTGGAGATTTCCAGTTTGTGGTGAGTGAGTAGAGGTGAAGCGTTGCAGAAATCTTTGCCTTGGTGTACAGAGGATGGCTTATCGAAATGCCTATAAAAGTAGCCAATTATTTCCTTTCCCAGAAGTGGCTCAGTGGAAGGTTTTATGTTCCTTTTATTTCTTGCTTCCTTTCTCTATTTATATGTATGTCTTACTTCATGGCAAATTTGGAGGGTATTTAACTATTATATTTGACATAAAAAAATAAAAGGAAAATATATAATTTCAAAATAAATCTGGAAAAAAAGTTGTGATGATTGGAATGCAGAGGTTCTTAGCATTTTTTCCCCCTACACCAACACAACTAGATTTTTCCCCCTATGCTAACACAACTAGAAGTGGAAATGTGCGTGCTCATTCTCTTGCAAGTCCCCAACCCCATTGCAGTGGAACTCCTCAGTTACAGGCTCTCGATAATTGATAACTCTGGACTAAATTTTTGACCTTCAGTCTCTTTGCTATTAAAGCAATAAGAAAAGGAAGAAAATCAGCTGTGATGTGACAGTTTCAATAAAGCCTAAATATATGCCCTTAGGACAGAAATTTGGGTTAGGTCTGCAACTCTATGTTTGTGTACATTACTAGCTCAGTACAGTGGGTAGAAATGCTTTGAAAGAGAATTGTTAGAGCTTCCCTCCATGGAGGTGAAAATGTATGACAAGGCACTTCAGAAAAGGAGGTTTGGGCCCAGACAAATGGTACATAACCGGGTTCTCTGAAGATCTGATTTAATCCAGAGATGACATCTGGGCAGCTGAGACGTGACGGGCAGCCCATCCTTGAGGTGATTCCCTGTTAGCATCATTTCCCTCCTTTAAGCTCTTGAGAGAAAATGAGCATAGGACGCTCCCATTGTAGTCATTGGAGTGCAGACTGCACTGAATTTAAGTGGGCTGCATCAACCTGTAGACTCAACGCAGCCTCTGGAGATCAACTAAAACATGTAGCCATCCCACCTCATGGGAATGTTGTCGAGAACTTTCTGGGTACTATGAAAAGTCAATCCCATATATCTGGGAGGGATAATCAGTTGCTTCCATCTGAAAGAAGACTGCAGCAAAGATAAACCATACATTGAAATCATTTATTTTTTGCCACATTGGGCGTCATGCTGAAGCCATCTTCTTCCTTTTCTGTGACTGAATCTGTAGAGATGGTGGTGGAAGGCAGTAAAGGTGGGACCACTTCACTGGGGTCCAGTCACACCCATGACTCTCAAATCTCAGTGAACCGTCAGAACTACCAAGGGTTTGTTTCAAGGCAGAATGCCTTCATTCTTTCCTCTCCTCTGACACTGGCTTGTGTTGGCTTCTCTAATTATCATGTTTCTCACCATGACATCTCAAGATCAAGTGATTCCTGGTTAAGGAACAGAAGCAGAGAGTTGTCTCATTCCCTATTGGGACCTAGTGAAAACTGGTAATAAAGTCAGGGACAACTCGGCCCTCCCTGGTGGCACAGCGGGGTAAAGCACAGCACTAAGAAGCTTAAGTTCACTTCCGCATGAGTTCGATCCCCGCCTGCCCCGGAGGAGATCCACATGGCGTGGCAGACCTCTCCTGACCCACCTGCTGCTCCCCTCAGCAGTGTACTTCATCAATCTGCCTGTTCTGCTCCCCACTCTGTCCCTGCTGAATTCTCTCACCCTCCGCATCTCTGGTCTGTACCCCAGTTCTGTATGAATAAATAAATAAATCTTTAGAAAAAAAAAATCAGGTACAACTCAGCAGGTCAACACTGGAGTAGAACCTCGCTGGACATGTAAGGAAAGTCTTCTATGAGACAGCACTTATATTTTGCTCTATCAAGGTCATGAACATCCTGCCCTACTGCACTATTTGGACATGTTTGTCTAGGAAATTATTTTTGTTTGTATGCTTCTGCACTAGTAGGATGGCTCTTTAGTAAATATGTGAAACTGTTGTTTGAAAAAGTAAATAAAATACAGAATCCACCCCCAGAAATTATGATTCAGCAAACCATATTTGTGCCCTCAAGCCACAGAAGAGGCACAGACTGACCCAGGAACGTTCCATCTTGTTGCCCAGGAGGGTAACAATATGTTATTTCCAGTATTTCATGTTATTACCTCTATGTTAGCATGAACAAAGGTAAAAGTAGTCAATAACTTTCACTTTTTAGTAACCAAATCTTGTGCTGCATCTTTGTGGGCATTTTTCATTGTTGATGAAATAAACTCGGTATGATTTGTTTCTCAGAGTCTTCCCTGAATGCCCTGGGCGAGATAATCCTCTAGGCCTTGGGAAGCTTCTCTTTTTTTTTCTCCTCCTGGGACTACCAAGGGTGCAGATTTGTACACAGAAGCCAACAGCGAGAGGGGAGGGAAGCGAGGTCTTTGCCAGGCAAATCTTGCTTCATAAAGCTCATAATCGTCAGGGGGGTGATGAGTTTATAGCGAGATTTTTGAAAATAAGAAGAAAATCCTTCTTATTGATTCTACTGGTAATTTCTTTTTATGAGTATGGAGTTGGGGAAAATCAAATCTGTCTTTTAGAGAGATCAAATTTCAATAGCTTGCTTTTCAGGTCAGCCTGGTCTCATAGTAGCCGAATTGACTTGGATAACTTGGGAGGCAGCAGATTTTGCTATTGCTAGCACAAGTGAACGAGGAGATGGGTGATTTTCAAATATAGCTCCTATTGTTTTCTCAAGAACACCGCCTTTGTTGGATCAGTTAGCTTTGAAAGTATAAGCTCTCTCACTGCTTTGCATGGAAGCAAGCACTTCACAGGCAAAGAAAAGGCAACTTGAGCTTTGCACCCCTGCGCCATCCAGGTGTGGCTTCGGGGTCTGCACACACGGCTGGTTCTAACCAGGTTCACAGGAAGGCTCGCGACTCAAAATGTCACTCCATTCTGACCACCTCATCCCATTGGTGAGTGTGGGGTCCCCTGCCCTACATCGTATGATACGGTCAAACACTCGTGAGCTGACACAGAACAGGTAAGACTGACTTATCTCAATTTACTAGTCGCTGATGCTGACTGCCCAGGGAGGACACAATTCAGGGTCCTGAGGAATAGCAAGCAAGGGCAGAGTGAGCATGCAGGGCTGAGAGGGCTCATGATGTGGCTATAATCAGTAGGCCTGTGGGTCTCTTTGAAGCTCAAAGATGGGAGTCAGCCCATGAAATACACCTTAGATCAGGCCTTCCCTGGTAGCACAGTGGGTTAAAGCACAGCACTATAAAGCAATCACAGCCACTGCAGTACAAGTTTGATTCCTGGCCTGGAAGGTGACCCACATGGCACAGCAGACCTCTCCTGACCCGCCCACTGCTCCCCTCAGCAGTGTAACTCATCAATCTGCCAGTTCTGCTCCCCACTCTGTCTCTGGTGAATCCTCTCACTGCCCCTGCACTTCTGGCCTGTACCCCAGTTCTGTATGTATAAATAAATATATCTTTTTTTTTAAAGAAATACATTGTAGATCTTACAATATAGCCTCCAAGATCAACTCTACCTTTATTTGGACATATTCACTGGACTACGGAGCCCTGGTTTCAAATTTGACTTTGAACTTTGTCAACTATCAAAGTGGAAGGGGCACTATCATCTATGCTAAGATATACATTGTCTGTGACATTTCAGAACAAAAAGCACTCTACACAAGAGTCAGTCCCAGGTTAGACAGTCACTGTCTCCTTCCTGAGCAGTGCCCTGCTCTGCTGCTCAGTTCTTCTGTATCCTGATCATTTTCCCACAATTGCAAAAATCTTGCAGACTGATTGGATTCTTCCAAACCAGTTTTTTTTTATCTTATTTTTACATTTGAATACTTCAGCCTCTAAAATGTCCTATAGTCTCTACTGAAAAAAAAAAAAAAAAGTGGCCCTCCGTGGTGGCACAACACGTTAAAGCACAGCACCCAGAAGCTAGCCACTAGCCACAGCAGCTTCAGCAAGAGTTCGATACCTGGCCAGGAAGGTGACCCTCATGGCGCAGCAGACCTCTCCTGCCTCGCCTGCTGCTCCCCTCAGCAGTGTACTTCGGCAATCGGCCTGTTCTGCTCTCCACTCTGTCTCTTGTGAATCCTCTTACTGCCCCTACACTTCTGACCTGCACCCCAGTTCTGTTGCATAAACAATTAAATCTTTAAAAAAAAAAGTAAGCAAGAAAGGGCATTTCACAAATCAATTTACAGTTCATAAGTTTGCTCATCGGGAAGCTAGTTCCAGTTCAGTCTCCAGTTCACTGGGGGAAGGGGTTGCAGCCTAGACTACTGTGGGATCCCTTTGTTGGCCCCGGGGCCAACAACCAGCTGCAGCAGGTGCGGCAGCTAATGGCTCACACCTGCAGCTTTCCCATGAGGCCCTCCCTTGGGTGGCTGGAGCCCACTTGCCACAAGGTGCATGCAAGTTGCCACTTCATGCACTGTCACTCAGAGCTAAGACCTGAGATTGTGGGGAGGAGGGAGGAGAGAGAGAAAAGCCCACTTCCCTAGTTTCAGGGGAGGTCAAACTTCATTGTCATTTGTGCCCAGGAAGCTGCCCAGACTTCTTCAGAAGCTGCATCCTTTCCCCAGCTTCTCCCTTTCCTAGCTTCCCCTTTTTCTAGTTCCTTTCCTTTCACTGCATTCATGCTTCTCCGGAGACCAGGCCCTCCATAAATTACATGAAGCTGTACTTGGGCCTCTGCCTCCAGGGAACCTGACCTAAGGTTATCTCTTCACAGCTGGAAGTAGTAGAAAAATCAATACTTATAGTCCCTTTTATAAGCCCTTTCATTTTCCTAAAATGACAATTTTGAAACTTTATTTTGAGTATAAAAGTAATACATGTTTATGACTAAAAACTCAATGCCACAGGGTATAAAATAAAGCACAAAAGATTTCAATGCATACCTCAACTCCTAGCCCCATTTAAAAGGTAACCATTGTTCCCTTACAGTATCCTTTCAAAGCTTGTCTACATATACACACACATATATATAGATACACATAAATATATACTTTACATAAATTATATCAGATTGTTCATGTTATTCAACAATCTGCTTTCTTTTCACTTCATATGTCATGAAATTCCTTCCATTAGCAATACAAAGAGATCTCCACACATGACCAGTGCTCACACAACTCATCCAAATAGGCAAATTCTCTGTGATGGGCCCGGCCTATTTCTTCCTATAAAAATGAAAGTGAACACTTATGTGAAATTTTATTTTGCCAAGTGAACACTGAGAGCTTGGTTTGAGAAGTTAGTTATTTCCCACTTGATATGCCTAATGAAATGAGCTTGATGATCCAAAACAACACATGAAATTAATGGCAAAGGCTTTAAGGCCCTGTTACTCACCTGAGGGAAACTCAATGGTCCAAACAATGGATTATAGCTCCTGAGAACAGTGTTTAACTAGGTCTGATTATGTTCTCTGTCATGCACAGCCACAGAACCACATGCCAAGTAGTCAATGTTCTCCTCAATATTTCATGTGTGAGAGTGTGTGTGTGTAATTAAGGTACAGCAGGCAATGACTACAAGACAGTGGCAGGATGTTACAGAAATTACAAAATGTATTTTAAGATATGTAACAAAGAATAATGTACAATCTCACCCCTCTTAGGAAAGGTGCTATAAAACAATAGCACAACAAAATATAACAAATGTTGTTGAGATGTGGAGAAATTGGAAGCCTGCACTCTTTCAGAGGGCCTATAAAATGGCAGTGCTGCTATGGGAAACAGTATGGAGTTTCCTTAAAAACAAAAACAAAAAAAAGCAGGGCTCTCCCTGGTGGCGCAGCGGGTTAAAACACAGCACTGAGAAGCTAAAGCCACTTCAGCATGAGTTCGATCCCTGCCCTGGAGGTGACCCACATGGCACAGCAGAGCTCTCCTGACCCGCCCGCTGCTCCCCTCAGCAGTGTACTTCATAGATCTGCCTGTTCTGCTCCCCACTCTGTCTCTGGTGAATCTTCTCACTGTCCCTGCGCCACTGGCCTGTACCCCAGTTCTGTATGCATAAATAATAAAAAAAAAAAAAAAAAAAAGCAGAGCTGTCCCATGAACCAGCCATTCCACTTCTGGGTATATACCCCAAGGAAGTGAAAGATAATTATACACTTGTGTTCATGGCAGCCAGAGGTGGAAGCGACTAAGTCTCCATGGAGGGAAGAAGAATAAACAGGATGTGGCATATGCAGGCTGAGGCATGAAGCCACAGGAAGGAAGGAGTTTTTGACACCTGCTACAACACGGGGGTGAAGGGGGGGACCTCGCAGACCTGC